GTTCGACAGCCAGAGCATAGAGTGGAGTTTGTGTGCAAGGTTACAGGTGTCACTTGGCTTTTTTCGCTAGTAAGACCGACAAGGAAATCATAGCTGACTCTTCTGACTTTGAGAGTGTGATTCGAGACCTGCGACACGATGTGTCAAGTGTGTGTGTGTCTGTGTGTGTCTGTGTGTGTCTGTGTGTGTGTGTCTGTGTGTCTGTGTGTCTGTGTGTGTGTGTGTGTCTGTGTGTGTGTCTGTGTGTGTGTGTGTCTGTGTGTGTGTGTGTCTGTGTGTGTGTGTGTGTGTGTGTTGGTGTGTGTGTTGTGTGTGTGTGTGTGGTGTGTGTGTGTGTGTGTTGGTGTGTGTGTGTGTGTGTGTGTGTGTGGTGTGTGTGTGTGTGTGTGTGTGTGTGTGTGTGTGTGTGTGTGTGTGTGTGTGGTGTGTGTGTGTGTGTGTGTGTGTGTGTGTGTGTGTGTGTGTGTGTGTGTGTGTGTGTGTGTGTGTGTGTGTGTGGTGTGTGTGTGTGGTGTGTGTGTGGTGTTGGTGTGTGTGTGTGTGTGTGTGTGTGTGTGTGTGTGGTGTGTGTTGGTGTGTGTGTGTGTGTTGGGGTGTGTGTGTGTGTGGTGTGTGTGTGTGTGTGTGTGTGTGTGTGTGGTGTGTGTGTGGGTGTGTGTGTGTGTGGTGTGTGTGTGTGTTGGTGTGTGTGTGTGTGTGTGTGTGTTGGTGTGTGTGGGTGTGTGTGTGTGTGTGTTGGTGTGTGTGTGTGTGTGTGTGTGTGTGTGTGGTGTGGGTGTGGGTGTGGGTGTGTGTGTGTGGGTGTGGGTGTGTGTGGGTGTGGGTGTGGGTGTGGGTGTGGGTGGGTGTGTGTGTGTGTGTGTGTGTCTGTGTGTGTGTGTGCCGTGTGTGCGCAGTGCGCTTGCTTGCGGTCAAAAAAAGTTGTGTAGTCCTTTCCAAAATTCAGCATCGTGGGAATATCCTATGCATTCGTGGCATTCGTCTCTAACAACAACCCAGTGTACAGAGGAAGGGGTCATGTAATGTGCTCCTGTGTCTCATTAGTACGCCAATAGCTTTCCCCTTCCCCTCATCTTTCTTCTGCTTCTGGGGAAGTCGCAGAATATTGGCTAACATGCGCATGCGATCTACTACAAAGTGTGACATACTGTGAAAAATCTCGCGCAGGTGCTGTGAGCCAAGGCACGGCCCAAGTTAAAACGCGAAGGCCTGTAAAGACGCCCTGGATCATGAGCTTCAGCTCCTGACAATAATTACGAGCTGATCCTCCAGAGCAAAGCTTCCGAGGGAAACTGCCAAAGACGCGAGGCCTCTGCAAGGCCCAAAACCGCCGTCCGACACTTAGATGAAAAGAACGCAAACTCTGGTCAAGACCCAGTGCTCTACAACCATGGTGCGTTGCGATCCTGGAAGATCTTGAACTTTAGAAGCCGGATGATCCGGCCCAATCTTGCGAGCTTCCTGAGCAGATGTGGCAACTTTGACGGCCATTCAGCAGCTATGATGTCCTGCCGGGGTTTGGGGCAAAATGCTATGGGACTCTGACCCGAAGCCAAGTCACAGCATCTTCAGCGTGCCCAGCGATGCGGAGTCCGAGTCCCTGGGATACAGGACAGGCATCTTAAGGCTTGTCTTAGCTTTCGTAATCTTCTCCCTCCTGCCAGGCATGCTAGAAACTGCGCCACAACATCTTCCAAGGCCAGGGAACTGTGAGGCAGGAGTGGTGTAGGTGACCGCGAGATCCACGAATGCAAGAATCACACAAAGAATGTCCTTCGCTAGGTGACTGCCGAGGACAACCGCCGAAATGCAATGGCAGTGCAATTGACCGGCCGTCTGCGTTCGCTCGACAGGCTCCATGCGGCTCCATGCTTTCCAAGTATCGAACCAACTCCAGTACCAATCCCCTCCCATGAGGAATTCGCGCATGCCGAATACACGCATCTTGATCAAAATTTCTCCAACGAAGAAGGCCGTGAAGAAAACTTCCAACACCTTCCATCTGGAGGTCATCAGCTACATCATACCTCCTACGCCTGGAGAGAGAGAGGATTCCAATCACTTACGCAGCACCCCGGCAGCAAAAGGGTCACAACAATTCGGATCGGCCTCCCAGACAATGTTGCTGTGTTCATCGTCCAAATCTGCGCTGAGGCCAGCCACGACGGCACTAATCATGATGACCACAGCGGGAACAACATCCAACATCAGCAAAAAGATTGGACCTGGCTGGAACGGGCTCTGCACAAGGTCAACTCAATCCAGCACGGGGGTTTTATGTGAGTCTATAGTTGACAAGAAGCTGTCTTCCGACTCTTCATCATCGATCCACCTGGAGTTTTGGCGCTTGTAGTCCTTGACCTGATCTCTTGCAGGGCGACCCATTCATGTGATTCATGGTTGTTCACACGAAACATCTCTTGGTGAACCGATCGTGCTTGGCTCTTCTTCCCCTTCATGCAAGACATGGTATCTTCTTCTCGCACACTCTATCTCTCGGTCTCACTCGCCTCATTGCTTGCGTTGCTATTGAATTCCCCCGGACGTCAAGGCATTCCCTCAGGCGAGCTTTAGAGCATTGGAGTATGTATCACATGTGCTTCTTGTCAAGCTCTGCGAATATCCTTGGACACTCCCATAGCTTTCTTTCGGCGGCACCAAGGACGCAGTGTGCAAGCCCGCCTCGGTCGGCCTAGCTCTCGCTCCCTCAATGTGGTGCGAGCAAACACATCGCTGCTTCTTTGAGATCCAAACACTCCGCCCAAATCGACATGAGCGCAGAAAGGACTGCGATGTGCCAAACATACCCCTCCGTTGCGCTCGCCGGTCGCAGTGGCCACAGAGATACCCAATGCAAAGGATCTTCGTGCAAGATTCCCTGCCTTTCTTCGCGGATCTTCATAGACACGCCATTGCCTCTGGCAGTCGCACTTTTTCTGTTGCCCTCCACATCTCCCAACGTAGCCGATGATCGACACCCTTCCTTCCGTTCCCGCCCTCCTTCTTCCTAGGGCGCTTGGAAGACCCAGAACCAATGCAACGACGGGCCAATGGACAGTTGGTCAATTCTGGGGTGACAACAGATACGCTCCGAAACAGCTAGTTCGAAATGGCATTGTCTGCCGAGGGTGGCGCACACCATCTGCTCTGACCTTGCATGCTGGAACTCAGCTTCGGACGGAAATCTTCTTTGGGCTTCCTGGTGGAGGACTCTTACCACCCAGGCTCTTGTCATTCTTCGTGCCAATCTCATCGCCACATGCATTTATGGCTTGCCTTCGCTGGGCTGCTTTGGCCGATTTTTGAAAGAACCCTCTAGAAATCCTCTATGCCCTGCTCGTGTGTGACGGGCCTGTTCAATCGTAGCAAAAACACGCAATTCAATTTACCGACAAGACAGCGGGAAACCTTGTGGGAGGCGGAAGCTCGAACCACTCTAATTTCTGCGGGTGCTGGACTCCTAACCCCTAGTACAAACCGAAAGTAACGAAACAAAACAGAGTCTGGTGAGCTAGTGGCAACCCGCCGCCAAGAATGAACCTTGCAAACATACGTAGCCAATCTGCACTGGCTCAATGATCTCGCAATCATCCCCTCGTATATGCCACAACGGGTCCGCTGGCAACTCGCCAGGCACCTGCCCAGGGTGACTGTCACGCAAGCTCGAAGGAGGCCTGGATTTAGTGAGAGATGCCTTCTCGTTTCCCGCACATGTCTCTCTACTTCACATGCGAGCCCGAAACCAAGAAAGGATCTCCACAAGTACCGCATCAGAACACCGACATGGAATGCTGTCGTGGGTGATATCGGGCGTTCAGCCTCATTCCACCCTATCGCAAAACCACAACAGAACACCGATGCTGCGATAGATACATCTGGCGAGTTCACACTCATGCTTCCATCTCGCAAAACCGCAACGGAACACGGACATACAAAGCTGTCAAAGAAGCTGCTGCAATTTGGCATTCACTTTCATGCCACGCTCTCACACAATGAACGAAACTCTCTGTCTGACATCTGAAGGCACGGAGGTGGAAGGTGTTGCAGCGTAGGCCACGACCGGTTGTGCAGGAGGGCTTGAGTCGGCGCTCACGCGGCGAAAGCTCCACAGGGGATCCTGCACGGTGGAGGTTGGACTTGCGAAAAACCTGTGATGAGTTTGAGTTTATGCATTGCTCTATCTGTAACATTGCAACAAGGAGCACAACGAGGATGACTTTCGCATGAAGCCTTTGCCAGATCAGATCATGACGGGCAGACGCAAGACATGCGGCACATCTAACGTGCTCGGCTCGCAGAAGCCATCCGATGTGAAAGAGAGGCTCTCCTTCTCATGTATTTTGTCCTCGATTCTACTTCGGTGTTACCTTTTCCCGACCCTAGCTCAAACGGAGCAAAGACATCGAGCGTACAGGCATTGGGCTTCAGGGATCTTACTACAGTGTTTGCAGCTCTCCTTCTGCAACTCTTTGCGCAGCTCGACATTTTCAGTGACCACGCGGTCGTACTCTGCATGTAACGCTGCAAGGTATCGCTGGAATGGCCCATCGTTCAGCGCCATGGCCGTGCAGACGCGAGGGCTTGCTGGAATGACTTGGTGCACCCAAGCTTGGTGACGATGACACAAACTGCAGCAATGCGCAGAGTTCGTGATGTGCGTGTGTCTCATCTTTTTGAGTCCAGATGCCTTCCTCAGATCCTGTCCTTGCTACATGCTACAGAGAAATTTCCACCGGAAGAAGGCCAGACTGGGACCCTGGAGCCATGAATCAGAGCCTGGGTATGCAGCGCACATGCTTTGAAGGATGATAGCTGCTTCGCCAAGGAACTTTCCGTGGGCCCGCTAAGAGCTTAACGCAGAAACGTTTCAGAATCCAGCCATGTGTGAGCCCTCGGGAAGATGCTTGTTTGCCTGCAACCCTTCCATGAAAATCACCATCAACACAACAAGGCATTCTCCGAAAAATGCCTTTGGAAATGAAGCATGTCATGCAAGGCACGCGGTCGCTGATCCGGGTGGACGTCAGCGCTGCATTCGCAAGTAACGCAGGTCCTGAGTGCAGGTCAAGTATGCAACACGACCTGCACTCGCTGAATGACAACGAAGACTGCCTTCCAAGTCGGGTGAACGGCCGGGAGGTCTGACGCAGCCGGCAGTGGCCATCCGATGTCTGCACGGTCGTGCAGGAAATGATACAAGACTCTTATGGGCCTCCTGGCATACTACATATTGCTGCAGCAATTCTTGGACGTGAGCCCAGCTCTCGAGCACGTGCAGAAGCAGATCTGGTGTCGTGCTGCGAGGACCAATGCAGTGCCAAGAGCCATGCATGCAACTCTTCCACTCCGGAAATGCGGAAATTGGAAAGTTGAGGGGAATCTGATGCCTCAAGCACAGAGTAGATTTAGGTCTGCGAACCAACAAGATCTTTCTTTTCTCGCTGCTGCATTCCAAGCCATGTTCTCGAGGTCACGGAGGCAGCTTCGTGCAAAGACGCCATCACCTGAACATGACAGTGTACTTCCTCACGCCGCAGCCATGGTCTAAGAGCCTGTTGCATACAGAAAGAGCCGTGCTGAATAGCGCGAGTAACCCGCTCTCTCGGACAGGCTGAGCATGCACCGGTACAGGAACGAATCGGCCTCCTCGGAATTCCAGGATGCAAGACCGACCTGGTTTGGAGTAGAGCCTCAGCCTACAGGCCTAATTGCAGCGATTGCACAACGGGTAGTTGACAATCGCACAACTTGCCCTACGTCAGCAAACCTCCCTGACTGTCTCTTCTCGCCATGGCTCAATGGAGACCGTCTTCAACTCTTCAAAAAGCGAGAGCGCCTCACACAAATCCCCGATGCATCTCTGGAGCAAATTTATTTTGTTGCTGCATGTGTGCAGAATGTGGCTTGCACAATCGGCTCGACGACTTGTCAGCAAGCAGCCGCACCTCCTCGAAGCGCGCAGACTCGTCCAATGCTAGAAGAACGGCATCATAGCTGGCAATGTTAGGCTGCAGTGCTGCTGCACGGAGTTCGGCAAACCTCATGACTCAGCAGCTTCGGCAACTGGACAACTGGATACACCTGGTCATGCTTTGCAGGCTCTCAGGAACAGATGCATGCAATGTAAGGATCACTCAACATCGCAATTCTGCTTCTGCTCTGATGTACACCCATACCTGGGACGAGGAGCAAAGCAATGGCACTTTGCCAGTTCCTGCCTTTAGTGCAAGCACTAATCGCTGCTGTCAGTGCCACCACGTTCGCCGCCAGATAGCCTGAAATGACTCTGTCCACGAACTTGTCTACTGGGTCTCATCACTGTGCGGCATGTGGGCTCGCGGACTAGCAAATTCCACCTGGATCAGGGGATCTAGTGAATCGAGACTGCTCCATGCAATCAGGATGAGTCCATAAGGCGCCTGCCGGCATACACCACCACTCCATGCAATGTCAGGTCACATGGCGAAAGCGCCACCCCGCCAGTTCTACACGTCTGAAGCAGTCACTACCAAGGTGACTGATCTGGAATTGGTCTTGAGAACACCCTCTGAGCAACAATTAGAAGTACGGAACGGCGCTTCCTCGATCCTGCTAGGGACTCTGGAGTCCTGGTAAGCCGAGCGTTTAGTTTAGCTGTCAACAATGATGACAGGTCGGTGAGCTCCAAACCTCGAGTGCACCATTTGACGAGTAAGGTTTGCGCGACATTACACGACCAAAGTTTGAGGACTCCATTTAGAGGTACGTCAAACTGGTTGAGTCCTTGAGGAAGCCCCATCTTTTTTTGAGATCACGGCGTTCCGCTCCACCTATCTGCACTCAGTTCGACAAAGTATTTCAGCTGAAAGGTCGATCACGGGGATTAGTGGCCCTGACTCCGGTTCTGTGGCGCGTTTTAGGGAAACTTGTCATTGAACAATCCCCAAACACCTCTCGAGTACTTGCCATCGATGCCGCGACAAAAAACTGGCTTTGCCCCGATCAACCTGCTTTTAGGGTGAGCGGCTGCTTCTCAAGCCTTGTAGCAGCTGCAGTGCGGCTTTCCACTGACCTTCTTCCTGCGCATGAAACCGAAAATCTGTGCACTTGCCTTGAAGATTCTGCTTGTTGCTGCTTCTATGGCTCGATCTCCGCAACCGGAACTACAAGATACGCAGCTGAATCAATCCAGCTATGCGCAGCGATCGAAGCCAGTAGTACACGGCCACTTACAGGAGAGCGTGTTTGAACCAAGCAGCCAGCTGTTGTGTGCTTAGCTCGTTGCGCAACCGTCACTGCTAGAATCAAAAGAACGACATCGGCGACGGGTCTTCACAGGCGCTGATGGCCGCACTGTAAGAGATAACATCCGCTTCGATCCCCTCGCCGATGGCATCGTGCAGCCTGGGCCACTTCAATGGAAAGACAGCGCAATCAGAAATGCCTTGCAGAGACTTCCATCCTCCGGCCAAGCCGCACCTGCAATGCCATCTGCCACTGCCCACGTTTTTCACCTGGGTTTTTCAGGACTCTTCCCGCGGGACAACTACGATGCCTTTGCAGCAGTGGCACAGGCACTCACGGCTGCATTCAGGACCACAGTGTTGACCTCGAGACGTACTACACTGACAGGCGAGGCACGGCCCTTCATCCCTTCATGACCTGCCCGGCCTGCAGCCCGTTGCTCCGGCTTTCCATCAGCAGATGCAAAGCTCTCTGCCACTCTCCTCCTGGTTTGGGCGGCTCGTTTCTGGGATGCGCTTTGGAACGCAGCTCCAGCCGTTTAAGAGACTTTCCCTGCCTTTCTCGAGCGCACTGATGACCGCTCCAGCGGCTACCACGTTTGGCTGAAGCCACAGCAGCTGCAGACCGCCGAACAACTCGTATGCCTGCTGCCACCTTATTGCAGGCAGCCCCATTCCGCTCAAATCTGATCATGGATCAAATGCTGCAAATGAACTGCAACCAAGACTCTCTGCGGCCTTCTCGCAGGCGCTGATTGCAGCACTGACTGTGATGACATCAGGGCGCATCGTGCAGGACAGCGCATACGTAAAGCAAGCCAGTGCGTGCCTTGGCTCACAGCTTGTGCTGATGCATGTTTGGTGCAGCCACGGCGCTGGAGAAAGCTGGACAACGTGTCAGGCTCCCTGGCCCTAGAGGCACTTAAGAGCTTTCAATCGACGTGCGACAGATGCCTGATGTTGCAAGTTCGCTTTGGTGAGTCGGGGATCCTAAATAGCGGCTCCTGCGGGTGTTGCCAAAAGCCGCGGTGGAGGCTTCAATAATTTTTGTGATGCACACCACACTGTCCAGAGTCGCTGCTTAAGTCTCGCCACTGCACTTGCAGCACGAAGCCTTGGCATGCATTCAAAAACTCTGGCATCATCTCACTCAGCACCATCATTGGCAACTGCCTCATGCTACGCGGGCAAGCCTCCCGACACGAATCCACACAGACCTTGGGACAAATATTGACGAATGTGCTCTCCGTCTTGAAAACCGACCCACTCTCAACAGTCACGCGTTTTCGGCAGGACAGGGCAGAAGCATGAAGTAGGTCGAAAACCGCTGTACATCACGGCAGTTGTACCGTCGACAGCCGGTCGCCCGCTTGCATGCAATGGGCCAAAACCTTTGTGTGTGTGCTGCAGATATGCAAAAAATGACCATGATCACTCGTGCTTGCCGCACGAGTTGAACACAGGCCGTGTGTTTGCCTTAAGACAACATGACATCGGACGGCCCTGTGGACATGAAGTTGGCACTGCTCATGCAAACCTCCAACATGGCACTCAAAAGGCAGCAACAACCATGAATGAGTGCACAACGACGACCTGTATTTTGCATCCATGCCATTTTGGAGGCCGGTTTACATCCAGGAATCTAAAAATGGCAGAGACTAGAGGGAGCCACAGCTTGCAGACGACGCCCACGACTTAATATGTAGTTATGCTTCAAGTGTCTGTACGATGCGCTGATTGCGGCTGATTTGTTGGCTCCATCTGGTGGCCGTGCAGGTTAGCACTTGGCTCATCTCACTCGGCGAGCGTCCGCGAACAACTGGCCTTTAACCGTTGTGCCCTGTAAGCCAGCTGAGAGCAAAGCTGGTTCAGGGGGAGCTAGGATTCAGGAGACGGTGGGCTTTGTCCGTCTCGGGTACCTTGCGAACCAGTTCTGAAATTGAGAGGGTCGCCTGCAGCTCGCTCATGCGATGCAACTTGTTAAATGAGGCATGTTGAATTGTCGTGACGGCTCCCGATTCCTGCCGCTATGTCGAGTCTAAAGCCCAAAACGGATCGAATTCTCAGGGCCTGCTTTGCAGGCGGTTTGGGCATGCAAGGGCCTGCCTCTTGGGAGACAAACCTCCGTAACAAGCTTATGGATCTTCAATCCCAAGCTTTTCACATATCTTAAGAACCAGTCGCACGAGAAATGCTGTCTTCAGCCTGACTGCGATGATGTCTGTCTTGGAGGCCGGCCCACGGCACTTCAGCAATCCATCAACCATCTCCTCGAACTCCAGCTCCCCGCTCAGATCTGCATCTAAGACATCGAAAAGGTCTGACTTACAAGAGAGGTCAATTTCGGACTCGTCCAGCCGAGCAATAAGCTCTTTGTCTGTAGATAACCACTGATTGAACTCGTCTCTTGTCACCACCACGCTTCGCTCTGCCATCTGCTCGCGAATTTGATCCTGCAGAAACATTTGATGTGAAGTGCACCGTCGTTGCGAAGGCCTAACATCGAAAACTACTGTAACTACTCCACCCCCACCGCCCCTCAAGGCCACAAGGTTCACAAACCATGGGCCATGGACAGCCAGGTTGCAGTGAGCTGCTCATACTCTTGCGCTGAGTGCGGCTTGAAGCCATACCTTACATGCTGCAGGCCATGTTCAGCATTCCGTCAGGACAGTGCGAATCTGGTGACATTACTCATCAACCCTCTGGGCTCTGCATCCGAAGCACATCTCTTGCAACTGCAAGATCTGCTGGTCTAGCAACTTGGATACCCGACGGCCCTCCGAGTGCCCAGGGGGACCCTCGGCCATCTGCTCTTCCTCAGGTCTGGACTTCAAACTCAAAGGGGGGACGGGGAGGTTTCCCCTTCGGCTGCAGAGGCATGTTAACTGCCGAGTGTCCAAGTCCTTGCGCAATATCTTCGTCAGGATTATCCGTCCTTAGTTGAGATGCACCATAACGACCCCTGACCAAGACTCAAGTCGAGACGAACCGCACCTTCAAACGGGTCACGCTGTGCTGTTCTGTACGGGAAGCTGCACTGTGGCAAGCATCGGGGGGAAGCATGCTCTTAGTTTTCCCCAGCTCCTTCATCACACATCGTGTTAGAGGTTACATCCCTATCTGTCGTGGCCCGGCCCAGTTGAGGTATCGAGCATCCTCTAGAGTCTTTTCGAGCCCAGTATGCTCGGTAGCTCAGAATTCGAAGACGGTCATACCGCCCAGAACCGGGCCAGGATCAGAAGTATCGGAATGAGTCGGACGACATTCTTGATGAGGCACTTCTCGCGGTTTAGCACCCCTCGAAATGTCAGAGAAACATAAATTGAGACCCTGTGAAGGCCCAGCATCTGAGGACGGAGGCGATCATCCACCTTAGGCGATCACCAATGCGAGTCAACCAGGTGCCTTGACTCTGGCCTTGACACCTTTCTTGAAGCTCCATTGAAGTGCGATCCTACTCATGGTGTCAGGGAAACATACGCACACATACAAAGCTGCTAATCCAAGGCAAAGAACTCCGTCTTTGCGGCGTTTTGGCCAAGTTGTCGTTGGCGTTTCTTCGTGCTGCCATCGGCAACATTATCGATAAAGACAGCCTGCTGGGGTCTTTGATAGGGCTGCTGGGGTCTTTGATAGGGCGCGGCTCTGACATTCCGCGTGCTGGTTGTCGCGCAAAGCGTGCTCTTAAATCCTGCCCTTCAAGCAGCCAAGGCGCCATAATCAGATTGAAGATTCCGATTGTAACGAACAGGAAAAGCAGGATGTAAACCACCATGAAGACCCCGCCAAACTCCTTCGACATGCCCGTGCTCGGACGATGCAAGACAAGCCGAAAAGCATCCATAAAGTAGACAGCGACACCCGAAAGAAAGCCATGTCCGACATACATGCTAATAACTGGGACCAGCCAGGAGGCATGCCGCAGTTTTTCCTGAAGAGGCGTGCCATCGTACGCCGCGCATCCATCCGTGAAACACCGAAACCATGTGAACATCGCTGCGGGGACTGAGCTGAACTCAGCAAACTCTTTGAATAAGGTTGTTGTGACGATGCCCAACAGATACATGCAGAGGAACAGGAGCACCACCGCCCAGAATAAGACCCTTAGGCCGGTGAAGACGCCTTGGATCATGAGTTTGAGCTCCTGAAAAATCTTGAACTTGAGCAGCCGAATGATCCGACCAAGCCGGGCCAATTTCAAGCTCTTCAGTGAGCTGACGGGGCCTGGCGTGAAAACATGCCCCCACATCTTCCGGCAGAGCAAAGGACTACGCAATCACCTCCGGCCGCAAACAATACTTTGGACCACCGGGCCTGCATCAAGATTGATGTTCAGGGCAAAGCTGATGTACGTGAGCGACAAGTCGAATATTGCGACGAGGATGCAAACGATGTCGAACCAACTCCAATACCAATCCGGACCGAAAAGAAATCTGAGATTCGCAAGTCCGGTAGGGGGTGGGCAGGACACTCACACCACTGAGGAAAGAATAGGAAAGAACAACGTTGACCAAGACTGCTCCCTCCGAGGTGCTGTCGAGACCCAAAAACTCTCACCTTGACGATAATCTCGCCTATGAAGAAGATGGTGAAGGTAATCTCGAATATTCTCCACACCTCGAACACACTGCAGTGGGGCAGCGGTATCCTTTTAGCACCGGGCCTAAACAGCAGCAAGCAGTCGGCGAATCTTAGCCTCGGCATCAGGTTCGATATCTGCGCTGAGGCCGGCGACAATCGCGCTGACGAAGATGACAAAGGCAGGAATCACGTCCTGAGCTCCGGCTGGTGATTGAAGTTGCTTGCTTGGCCCACCTCCAGCACCCTGCCCTGCCCTACTGCTACTGAAGGCATCTGATTCTTTACTCTGCAGCTCATGTGCTTTGCCACATCGGTGAGGCACTGGTGAGCTTGAACTGTTCCATAGCTGCAACATCTACGCCCGAGATCATGCCAAGCCACCAACAGGAGGAGGAAGGTAGCATTATCCTCGGTGTCCTCCTCTTCTTCTCCCCTCGCTCGCTTAGCCTCACCAGGTCTTATCAACGTGTGAGCTTGAACCTGACTCCACACCACGAAGCCGAAGCACACAAGCATTCGAACGCAAACGATCTGATCGCACTCGCACACATACACACAGCCCAAAGAAAACAAGCCAACAGTAACAAACAGGAAGGCCGAAAAAAGCCTGACAACATGGCGCAGAAAACCAAGATTGGCAATCGAACAGCACCAAGTGACCAAGTGCAACAATGCAGAGCACAATCATCTAGAGTATGTGCAACAGCCAGAGCAAAAGACAATCTACAGAAGTCCAGCAGCAGAAGATCGACATGATAAGAGTTAAGGCCAAAGGACCTTGCATCGGCAAGTATACCAGGAGGCCAGGTCACCCACTTATGCACACCCTGTGCGAGAACGATGACGGGATTGGCAAACACTTGTAAGGAAAGCCCGCCCCCCGCCCAGGCACAACAAGCTCCACGCAACGCCTAGGCCAATCGTTTGTCCTGCTCCACCAATCTGAAGCCAAACATGATTTCCAGAATAATCCTACTAACTGCAAACCTGTGCACGAGTCACCAAACAGGTACGCAGACACGATCCTCACTTTCCAGGAAGGCGCTAGAATCGCCGGGATAGTTCCACCCTTCCTCCTGTACTTAAGCGTACATCATGTACGGCCTTCGCAGCTGCGGCTTTTGGGCTCGCCTTTGGACTTGATGGGGAGCTGGGCGTCTTCGGTGGCTTTATAGCCATCGGCTGTGGTGTTCCTGCACATAGCAAACAAGGCAATCGCGGCTGCGAAACTACGTGAGAGAGAGA